TAAAAAAAATAGTAATTGTTTGGACTGTGTAAACTTTTCATACAACTTGGTAAATATAACTGGGTTCACATACAGCTCAAATGAACCTGTAAAGCAGTTGTTAATGATGATACTTGAACAAACACGCTGCATTAAAATCAGTATGCTTCTCATGTACACACTCCTGGGTTAATGCCTGTATGAAGTGCTTTGAAGATTGCATAAAGAATGACAAACACCTAAATGCCAGCAGTGAGAAGAAGCGCTGAGTGATACATTAACCGATACATTTCTAATATGAATGTCCCTGAATGCATTTTAGTCAACCATTGCAGACAGATTACCAGATATTGCATTCCCGTCTAAGAATGAAATGAAGAGATAATTATGCAGCTAGCGGGTAATGGCGAGGTGGGGCTGTGATAGATTTGATTAAAGTTGTCAGTAAAAACACACGCTAATGACCATGTTGATTAGTTAGATTGCTTTAATGCTGCTGCTGCCATTAATCTACAGCATAAACAAAAGTATCCTGTTGGTCATTGCTGTGTTTGCAGTTTGTTTGCGTCTGTGTGTGCACCATCATGGATACATTTTCTTCTTTTAAACCAAAGTTTAAAGCAATTTTATGTGTTGTTATTTCAAAATGTGGATATTTAAATAAAACCCATTCATTTTTCTATATCAAATATGCTTGAGGAATGGACATTTTTGATCATTTCATGAAAAGAATATCATATTTTCAAATCACATTTTCTATTGATGACTAAACTTCCTCTTAGCTTTCCACATCCCATCACCTTTTCCTTTCCCATCTCTGGCTCTATGCAACCACAAAGCCCTAACCACTGCAGGATCATATTCATTAACATGTTGCTTTAATTGATTGATATCTGTACCACAGATAATCCACTGTGCTCCTCCTCCTCTCTCCCCTGCAGCCCTTCATCCCTCCCCTCCTCCCAAAATGAGAAAGAGCACACCGCTGCTTCCATGCGTCCATGCATACATTTGCACACACACACACACACACACACACACACACACACACACACACACACACACAAGCACGCACCAAGCGGCCTCCCCTCCGTTGCTGCTCCATTAGGTCTGAATTGTAGCTGTGATGTGTGGGACCCAAGGGAGGTGTTATTGTCAGACCTGATTTACTCAGCACCATCTGACACGGGGCTGGGGGGCTTGTGTGTGTGTGTGTGTGTGTGTGAGAGAGAGAGAGAGAGAGAGAGAGAGAGAGAGAGAGAGAGAGACAACAGGCGTACTGCCAGGCTTAGAGTCCTTTACAGAAAGGACAGTCAAAAGCAACAGTTTAACAGTTGCTGCAAAGCAATAGGCAACCTTAACAGTCATTGGAATATAAATTTACAGTATATTTCATAATTTACAACTTGTAGTTTATATTTCACAATTGTTATACTGCTGGCACTGGTAACTTTGTGAAGAATATGCTTTTATTTTTATGTTGTAATATTAGATTAAAAATTATATTAAATAAGTATATCAACTGAAAATACACACAGTACGTGTCCTATATGCATCCTATATACTGCACATTTAAGCAAATGTCCTTTTTGCTAAGTTAAGTTTATGGTTATAACATTAATATTGAATAATCCACATATTCTTAAAGTATTTAGAGATTAAATGTTTTAAATAAAGAGCTCTATCTCCGAAATTGCATCATAGATTTTATTGCAAATCCAATCATAATCTTGTCTCAGTAAGGAATATTGTCATCAAGTATTGCTAATGTCATCTAAAAGAGGAGTAATAATGGTGTGCAGACCTGAAAGTGGTGTATTATGGGACTCAAAATTATGAGTATGAATGAATATCTAATATTATTTTGGTGCCACATTCAGCTGAAATGTACAATATCTACAGTACAAGTACAAATTATTACATTACCCTATGTTCTTATTTTTGGTGCAGATTAAAGACACTAACATTTCAGCAAATAGTGTGGACACATTGAGTCAAATAAATGGTGAGTAAATGATCCATGAGAAAAATGATGTACCATCAAAGAAGTAGCGATGCAGCTACAATAATTTAGTCAAAAACTAACCAAAAGACCTTAACATTTGGTGTTGAAAGAAAAAAATATAAAATCCCCAAATACTTGCCAACATCACTTAACCAGGAGTCTTATGAAAAAATATGAACGGAACATAAGTAAAAGCACCCAAGCTTAAATGAAATACTTCTCAGTGTAAACATGAATTTGTAAATGTTGCAGTGTATTATTTTAGTTCAGGGTTGGAATTTTTTTTTGTCAATATGAACAAGACAGTAGTTTTGTTGTGATATTACAAAATGTTGACAATTGCATTGATAAATATGTTTACCATTAAATCATTATCATCCTTAGAGGATCACAGGTAGATGCATTAATATGAATATTTTTATCTGTGTGGACTGCCTCTATCTATCCCAGCATACAGAGTACAATGGATTTTAACGTTGGGATGTCAAAACATGAATTCTCAGTATCTCAATAACTGCTGCTCTTCATTGTCCTTCAAATGGCTTCTAATGCTAACATGAATCATGTCAATAACCAAGCACAATTCCTGTTAACAGCACTTTGTTGCCTTTTTTAAATTAATTTCTCAGTTTTTCCCTGCACATGTAATAGCTTTTGATTACTTTTATACATGTCATTGTATTAGATGCAAGATAACTGACACCGTTGTATCTTGTATCTCTCAGCATCTTCAGCAGCTTTGCACCTCATCAACAGGAAGGAGGGTTAATACAGCCAGCCTTTGTCTGCCAAACAACGAGTCTCAATTGACTGTCATGCTTTCACTTATGTGCACACAAGCCCTTAACCTCTAAGTCTTTTTTTCACATATTTTTCCCACCATTTACTTAATTACTGTGAAGCTACCTACATCACCGCCTCACCTCACTGACATCTCCTTTTCTCACCTTCTGCCGGTCTTTTCCAAGCCATCTGACAAATTGCATACCCAACTTAATCTCATTCTTTACTCAGAAAGTGGATTTCCAACTCAATCTGAAAGAGTGGGGTGGGATAATCCCAGTTATTTGTTTAAAGGAGTTCATCCCATGGTCATCAAAATCTCACGCCTGCTGTGTGACAGAGCTATTAAAGGTAAAGGGAAGTGTGATCATTCAGTGAGAAATAATTTGTCCTCTGTGTAGAATTTTTACATTTTTGTGCATGTAGCTTCATCATAGGTGTAGTTCTGTGCACACAAGCATCTTCATTTAGCTAAACAGAACCACAACCAACAGATTAGGGTTTTTAACAAAGTATTTCCTGTTTGCCCGGCAACAAATCAGCATGTCTAACCCCAAATACAAACAGCCTCGTAAACTGACCAAGCAGGTATCTAGGAGATTAACACAGCCCTTCACACTTCACTCTCACCGCCTTTCTGTCTTTGCCAAACACTGTTTGGGTCAAGTTACACACCTGTCGCTTTTGAGAGGCAACAGTGATACCTGCCACTCAGCTGGAAGGATTCAACTGAATATCCTGTCTGGTGTTCCTTTTCTTGTTCTGGGAACCTGAGGAGCAGAGCAGGCAGCCATTAATGGCGGAGGAAGTCGGAGGTTGCACTCAAAACAAAAGGTTGGAGGACAGCTGGCTATTACCTGCCTGCATGTCATACTTTACAGATCTGCACACTCATACACACACACACACACACACACACACACACACACACACACACACACACACACACACACACACACAAAAGGTGCACAATCAGACATTCATGCATACAGAAACACAATAAGCATGCAACAGTAATTGCTTTAAATGATTTGTGCTCACAGTTATCTAATTTTGCGTGAATGAAGTGTTGCATGATTATGACCCCGTGACTATTGTTATTTTAAGTAGTGAAAAAAGTACTCAAGTAGCAATGCCACAGTGTAGAAATACTGAAATTCTTACTTAAAGTACACAAGAACTATCAGCAGATATAATATCAAACAGTATCACTGATGTATAAGCAGCATATTACTGGTGTAACTGAACTATACGGAGCAAATTTTAACTACGTTATATTCATACATATTCGTACATATTTACATATTTAGAATGATTCAGTTGAAATTGAAATGCAAATCCCACGAATCTTCTTTGGTCTGTCGGCTTAGAAACACTCAACAAACAAACAAATAAATGTTAAAGAAAGCAGAAGATTTAAAATGTGACAAACAATGTAAGAGACAGCTGAAACGTGTCACGTGATAGTCACCTATGCAAGGGTGTTGTGTGCACACACACATCACCAGGCATTATAGAAGCAAATACATAAACATGCAATTGCACACACACACACACACACACACACACACACACACACACACACACACACACACACACACACACACACACACACACACACACACACACACACACACACACACACACACACACACACACACACACACACACACACTCACATGCACTGCACCCACCTACACATATACTGTTTAATCTACTTAATTGAACCTGACTTTGAATAACTAAACAAATGAGGAAATTCACAAGGGGCACTTGATCCCTTCTCGGCTAATGGATTGGAGATTCCTTTCCCATAGGGGCATTTGGGCAAACAAGACCCAGTAATCTCTGAATTGATGAGTTGACTCTCTGTCTGCATCAAATTTCTCCACTAAAGAGCTGTTGAACCCCTGATACAGTGTTGGTAGTTAGCCAGATACTCAATTTGCAGACACAGGCAGAACTGTGGGCTCGCTCTGGTTTCACTATCAGCACTGTGATGTAATATAGATATGTAAGATATAGATGCTGTGTGTAAGGTATAAGATAAATGTAAAGGATGACTCCACCTTTGTTGGCTCATGTTTCTTGGCTATTTCAATAACCTAACTGCATCCAAAAGCATATTATCATATTTTTTTTAGTTAGTATTATTTTTAAGTCCAGTTTTTACTCATTGTGTCTCATATGATGCACAATTTTGTAGTCCAGCCAAAAAGGATAGAACTCCATCTTGATTTTGGTGACAAATTTATTAAAGTCCTGTCATTTAATCAGGAATCATCATCATCATCATTACCAGAAGGAATAAATAAGACATAAAACATTTTCCACATAAACAAACATATACATCAGACCCCTGGGTGCTACAGAAGTTCTTCCTTTGGGGTTGTTTTCGGTAGAACAAAACGAACGAGATACATCTGAGAACACACAAATGCATAGAAGTAATTGGACCCCTAGGTACCATTTAAGACAACATCTACATTTTTGCCTATATCCCTGTTTAAGAATGTACAAAGTCCTCATATCTGGGTTCTTATTCATGTCCAAGAAGGGGTTGGTATAAAAATAAAGTCTCCACAATGATAAACCGTTATGTATATATATATATATATATATATATAGACATTTGGCAACAACCAGACGTTTAAAGACTGAACGTTGAACTGAATTCTGCACCTGAACACAGAGCTGATGTGAATAAAGGGGGAGTTGGTGAAAATCCAGATGGTCAATGTCTAAACTTTCTGTAGTCTGTATCTGTGGTCTCCACATTGTTGTGAAAAAGGCTTATTGGTATCTGAAAACTGAACATTTTTGACTGATTTCTTGCTTAACATACGGTTTTACTAGTGAGGGACAATGTTAGGTCAAGTGCTTCTAATGAAGGACATTTTCCTCCTTCCTCCCATCCAGATTACCTAACTGAATGGACCTGTTAATCAGATATTGGTGAGATCCAAGGACAGCAGTCTAGTCCTTTACACAATCACTGTCAGCAGTCTAGTCCTTTACACAATCACTGTCCTGTGTGACTATTTTCCAGTTCCTAAAATCCAACAGAAGACACAAAAAAAATCAAAAGTCAAATTTCTTGGTAGACCAATCAAAACTGTCCGTGGTCCACTTCATCTAACCAGGAGGCAGGGCTGGCAGGAAAGTCTGGGTATCCTCCGCTGCTGCCGGTGGAGAGGTCTGAGCTGGGGCCGTTGGCGGCACCCATGGAGACCCTCACCGCGGGGTTGATCCCGGGCCCGCTGCCCTGGGTCATGATAGAAAGGCCAGAGTCGGGGTAGACCAAGCTGGAGATGAGAGGTTGGTGTCTGGGTAACGCCTGAAGTGGCCCCGGCGACTGAGGAAGGCCATAGGGGCTGTTGGAGCGGATGTCATGGAACTGGTCTTGAGAGGGGATGACGCTGTGCTCCAGGGGGAAGGAGCTGTGGTTGTTGCTCCCTTGGCGGCCCCCCATGGCTGGAGAGGACTCGCTCAGGCTGCTGTAGATGCCGTTAGTGAGGCCAAGCTCTGACATGGGTGGTTCATCTGTACAACAAGGAGAAGACGGTGATATTTGTTATTCTTATTGGATTTACGAAAACTGTAATTTTCCACAATGGAAAACATTTATTCATTGTATATTTCTCTTGAACCAGTCCGTATCTGTACCAGTCGATGGTAAAAATCCCTTAAAATAAACTGTGTGAACTTATTGTCCTATTATCGGCTGAGCTAACATGCTTGCTCTGCTATTTTGGATAGCTTTTCCCCCTCTTCAGTAACTCTTTTACTGGACAAAATGATGTATAAACCACAATGACCACAATACCAGGGCAGGGTAATCGCACAATACATGGAAAATAGAAAAGGAGTTTGCTGAGCTTTTGTGACTGCATATAAGACAGCATGTTCCCAGCCAGCTAGTGTGTGCTTTCTAGGTAGAGTAGTTCACCAGATGTGTCACTTTCTGGTGTGACCAGGCCTTTACACACTCCTTTCATAACTGAATATCATCACAACAATTAGCTCAACAAATAATTATATCACAATTTAAAGTGATTTAAACGATAAACAGGTATAGATAATAAATCAATTTAAATTAAAAAATGGCATAACATTTACAAACCCAGAATATTTTAAACCTTATGAGATATGATCAACTATTTCAGCTAATTATTAATTAATCACTTGGAACAATGCTAAATATGTCTTTGCATTATAAAGTAAAACACCTAAAGGCATGTATTTAAAAGCAGTGCGTAAACATTTAGTAACAGGGTTGTAACACACTGCATTTTTTTTTGTGAGCAGATATAAGCCATTGTCCGTTTTGTGTGCTTGACTCTACCTGTAAAGGACACCTCAGCGTCACTGTCCATGCCCTCCTCCTGGATGCTGTCCTTGTCGGATTTGGAGCTTCCTCGTGACCTCTTCATGTTGCGGAAGTACTGCCCCCACCTCTGCCGACCGGCGTCTTTCTTCAGCCTTTTCTCTTTAGCTCGCCTGTTCTGAAACCAAACCTGACGGGAAAAAAGACAAGATGTCTTACTTTTTTTGCAAGGCTTTGGTGACTTTTTAGAAACGCATCTGATTGTTAAGTACAAAGTCTGAAATTTTGTTTCATTTTGTAAATTACTGGTAAATGTGCCTTCGATTAAATGAAATGCTTTCAAATGCAATTTACATTTATTTGCATAATTTACATAATCCTCTCCGGCTTGAGGACCATAAATAGCCCACATTGTTTTTTAGTCATCATGCCTCTCATACACAAGTCAAAGTCGTCTACATCCAAAGTCTCTTTTCTTGGTGCACATATTAAGCTTAAAAGCATTAAAACTAAATTAATGTTCAAGGACTGTCTGGACACTGCTTCACGCCTTGCTGAATCCAAGTAGGAGACTTAACACTGGTGACACTGACCAGTAATCCTGGGGTCCAGCATCCCTTACACCAGATTTATCACGCATTTAATTAACTTCATGACAGCTACAAGTTGTCCTCACCCCAAGGAGCAGACAGGTTAGCGTACCACTGATTTAGATTATTCAAATTTTCTATATCCACTTTTGATCTGATCTATAAATTTTTGCTCTACTCCTTAGACAACACATACACAACAAAGTCATAAACTGCCTATAACCTCACAGCTTGCAAATGTTTATGAAATCTGATCCAAAATGAATAAATGCCTCATTTTTTATTAATTTTTATCTTACACACAAAATGAATTCATTTCAGCCAGAAGCACAAAAAGCAGTTTTACATTCTCCTTAATGATATTCCGCCCTCGGTGAACCCACTTCACCTCTTCCCTTTCACTGAATAATGAGGAGCATTTTAGTGGCTTCCGTCTCTACTTTTGTCCTTGCAAATAAAACAATATATATGACCACCACCTAGCAACCAGCGTGAGGCTCCTCAGCAGCAGACAATATGCGAGGGGCCCTCTTAGCATTGTTAACGAGCTTGCACTTAAACCATGCTGACTTTCATGTGGACTTCATTTTACTCCATCTAGCCGTAAATTCCCTCCCAACACACACACACACACACACACACACACACACTTATCCGTACAGTAGTAGGCTTGTGCCAGTTCGGCCACAATCGTCCCAAGATAATGCAGTCAGGACACTAATGGAATAGCCCTTAATGGATAATAATATACTTTACCTGCACAACCCGCATATCCAGGCCCGTCTCTGATGATAGCTGCTCCCGGACGTGGCGGGCAGGTTTGGGAGAGTTATTGTAAGCGTTCTTCAGCGTTTCCAGCTGTTTAGCAGTGATGGTTGTTCGTGGCCTTTTTGCAGTTGAGTCTGCTTCTGAAAAATGAATGGACAACACATAATGTTAAGTCAGTGCTGGACCGATGTGGTCTTTAAAGTTTCAGGCCTGAAGTCTAATTTTGCAATAATTAAATTGACAAGAAATAAGACAAATAAGAGAATGAACTAGAAATATACACAGTCTTATAGTGATTTTCTCTCTGGCAGCTATACTTCCATGCAAAGCATTTAAATTCATTGCTGTCTCTAACAGTATAATACAAAAATTACTCATAGCCATAAAAATATTACGACCAACAAGAGAGATCATGGACAAATTCCTCATGTATTTTGTTCAGTAAAATGAAAATCTCTAATAGAAACACAAATTCATAGCAACTGATGGCATAAAACAGCTTATATGATATACAACTTTATAATTTAACATAAATGGATAAACTCCCTGCTGCCTATAAACCAAAATCTGGCATCCTGTAGGTAATTGCATCATGTCTGCACATCTGTTGGCCAGCACAGCAAAATACAAAACCATCATCCAAATGGATGCTGCCCAAGTAATTGCACCCTCTCATTAGTAAAATAAACGTGTGTGTTTTTAGTGAAAACTTGCGTTAACTCGCTGCATAAATCAACACTTGGTGTGGGGCAATAAATTCAAACAAACAGATGGGGAGATAAAACTTGACCATGCCCAGTCTGCCCTCTCAGGAACACAGCCTGCTGGGATTTTTCAGTGAAGTTAATGCAGCGTCAGTTGATATTATCAGGGTAAAGCAATACACATGTTTAATCTGGTAACTTGTGTATTAGTCTAGCTGGAAAAGCTCTATTTCCTGTCAGTGAGCAACACAATGACCAATTATTATTACACTGTAGGTAGGCAGGTCTATTAAATAGATGTTTTTGGTAATATTATGTATCATATAATTTGGCTTAATTGTACTTGTTTGCTAACAATTTGCTAAAATATTTCCCTAATATCTCCACATTCTGTACACTTTGATAGACAATTAGCCCTTTGAATACTATTTACAGATAGTAACACATGTTCTTTTTTGGGTAGATACAATATTTAGCAACCTGGAAGCACAACTAGGTTATTAATGTTCAGATGCATGTTTTTTATGGTTTAATTGTAATTTTTGTAACGACAATTGTTTTTAAGTCACACATGAAAGCTCTCTGCACATGATGACAGACGGATCATTTTAACATGTGCATCCATCCTTCTTTCTGCGTCTCTGCTCAGGCACAACAGGGCACACACGATCTCCGGCACAATAACAAGAGTTATTGAAAGCTGATTCCTTGAAGCGCCAGCAGAGTGCAAGTGTGAGAGCCTCCGGGCCTCCACTTTACGCAGCTTGCGATCGATTGGGTTGCGGGCAACGATGCAATTAGCACAGGTGGGTCAAAGTTTATGGGTGACCTCATTGTCGCGTCACACCACAGACAATGTATCATATCATTTACAGAATAAGGTCTGAGAATTACGCAGTCATTTGGAAAATAGTGCCCCGTGCTGCACATATGAAGCCAGTAATAGAAATGCTGAGACAGTTATTTGAACTGGTCGTTAGTGGCGACTCACCTCTCTGTTTGGCGGTCTCGTAGTCGGCCTTACAGACCAGCCTGCTGTCCTCCATCAGATAGTACTCGTCACCTGTGGCCAGCTGCCTCTTGCACACGATGCAGGCGAAACAGTGCAGGTGATAGACGAAGTCCTGCGCTCTCCTCACCACCTGTGTGGGCGGTATCCCCTGCTGACAGGCCGCACATTTGGTCCCGAATCTCCTTTTGGGAAATTAGATATTTTTCCATCAATTTATAATAACTTTTTAAAAAGCATCATTATTATATGGTTTTTAAGCAATTTAGATATTTTTTCATTTACGAAAAACAAAATATTTGAAAGCTACTCACTTGAAGAAATCCTCCTTGCAGTAGACGCTGTCGCCCCTGCTGAAGCACTTCTCCGCCAGTTGCGCCTGGCAGTCGCTGCATTTCAGGCACTTGCTGTGCCAGTGGCGATCCAGCACTTTGAGGATAAAGCGGTCCACGATGTGTTGATTGCAGCCTGCACACACTGGGATTTCTGCAAGGAGACATGGTGGAATCACTTTAGTCAATCCGGTGTACATTAGATATGCTAAATGGCACTAAGAAGTGACAACTGTACACGCTTATTGTGCTTAATACGCGCAAACTATTATAGCCTACTTTAAAGTAATTATCTGTTGATGGACAAGCTTTAAATTATGCAAGACTCTGAGGAAAGATGCATCACACTTTAGAGCTGAAATAAAGATCAGAAGCAATATGCGCAATGTTTTATTGTATGTTCGTTTTTGCTTTTCTCTTCGGTATTTTAAATTTCATTGTTCTACTTTTTATGATTTTATAAAGCAGTTAATAAAATGTGAAGAATAATACACAATTTCAATAAGAGATCAAATTATATTGACATCTATTTAATAAAACTGTCTGTAAGTCCTTTGTCATAACATCATCATCATCATCATCATCATTCTTTATCCCCGAATGATGACGATGATGAAGGTTTTTAACTCACAATTATATCCATCTAATTTCTTTCTTTTTTTTTTTACCAAAATAAAACAATGCAAAGGCTGTAACACAGATTTTCCTAATCGCCAAATCAACAAATCTTGGATGGAAAAGGGACCCCAAGCAAAGTAAATAAAGCACATACAAGCCCACAAGATAATTGTATTGCGCAGTATAAACACACAAGCAAATAAACAAACAAACAAAATAAAATAAAAAGAAACTAATAAAGCTGTGGTGTATGAAAGCGTGTTCCTGCTATGAGTGATTTGATCGTGTGTTTCATTATATATAAGCCCATATTAAAATGAGACGGGGATGTTCCCTCCTCCAAGCATGAGTCCTGTACGAATGTCTGATAGTTTATAACAGTAGCTATCCACATGATTAACTGTCATAAGTGACATAAGTGTCTGATTTCCTCAAGCCTCTTAAACTTGTCCTTATTTCATGTGATCAAGGAAAAACATATAATCACCACACGCCTGAATATATAGATACATATTAAATGCATTCATTATTTTATTTTATATTTCAGAGGGAGTCTTTGCCCTCGGTCTGGAAAAGAGGGTTTGATGCTCGAATTCAGAACCGAAGAGGAGCTTTACGTTTAATGCCTGCATTAAAGTAACACTTCACTTCACCATAGAGTATTTAGGCATAATATATCTCATGTGATGAATAGATAATGAAATAACCCACATTTAAAAATGTAAGTGATGTTTTTTGAATTTACAAGACTTGTAAGTGAATTATTAGAAATAAATATGAATATCGATAGCAATAAATAGACAACTAAACTACTTTTTAAATATGTATGATATACATGGACATTCACACACTTATCTCTATATAATATTGAAAAAAACAAAAAAGTAAGAAAAAAACTGCCCTAATGAAAACCAATGGAGGCCATTCTGAGCAGAAATCCAATGCAAAATATTGCAAAACAAAGGTTTCAGCATTCTTATAAAAACGTAAAATCCCTATATGAGGTCTAAACTGCATCATCATCCTGGGAATGAATAGCTCATCAACTGAATAATGCTGGTTAATATTTTGTCACGTGTAATTTTCTTTAACAAGCAGCACTTTTACGCAAGGTCCATTTCAGATACAGTAGCTACGATACATCACAAAACCCTCTAACCAGTTGTTCCCTCAAAGAAACAAGGAAATATTAAGACAACAGCTTTCTGATACACTTTTAAAACAAATAAAGACAAAGCAACTAAAGTAAAAACAAGGACAACTAAATGCCAAGTAAGACGTTATCAGGCCTCTTTATTACTAATTAAAAGAGGCTCAACCACTTCATATTCCATCCGTGCAAGGAATCGCATTCCTATTGTTCTGTTGTGGACAATTCATGAAACATTAATGAACCATTTCTTCTGGCATCACCAACGAAGCCCTGCACAAGTGTGGTGGGGAGCCACGTCAAGAACAGGTGTATCCAGGTCATCATTAATTCAACGCGCTCTGTAAAACTAGAAAGCTGCGGCCTATAGTCTCACGGTACAAACCAATAAGGTGTCCAAGCAATCTGCTCACTTTGTGGGGGACCACACTCGGAATACTGAAAATATAGACACTTGCAAATCTCGTTTGAAATCTCTTGCGCAAATGCATAATATCTAACTTCGATGCATCAGCCCTCATAATTGTTCAACATGGAACATAAAGTGAATAATAAACATACAACAATTTGAAAAAAGTTTATAGAGATAAAACTTTTAATATATAGTCTACGCCTGAACTGTATTCTTCACCATGTTCAACCTTCTGAATCCTTATGACAAAGGTTGATCTCAGATTTAAAAAATGCGTAAAACCAATGTCCAGTTCCGCCTGATATACCCTTCAAAGCAGCACAAAATGTAATATATATATATGTATCAAAATTTGAACGACCATACAGATAAATCAAAGGTTAAAGCCTTGTGCGTAAAAGTTGCATTGCGGAGATCGGGAGCAACGAAAATGGCACACGTCGTCCGTCTCAACAGCTGTAAAACTGACTGACAGGACAATTTGCCCAAATTGTGCTCCAGCATCCATCATTCATACAGCAGTTATGATAGCCTACAATTATTACGCAGTGGAAACATTAACAGACAGCAATCAGCCCTACAGCCACACTTAAAGGCCTATTTAAAGACCAGTATGTATGACCACACATACACTGCACACACACACACACGCACACACACACACACACACACACACACGTACAATATAAACAGTGTAAAAAACGAATAAACTGATTATTATTTGGTTTGCTGGTTACCTTTCCGTAGCTCCTCACTGTGCGACAGCAAAGCAAGGAGCATCTCCGTGTTATTCGGTGCCTCTTTTGGAGAGTTGCGCTCACCATGTCCATCCATCGCTCATGATTCACGCTCACATTAATGCAATGTCCTGTTTGTGGTCTATCCACACTCATGCACAAAGGCAGGTGTTGTCAAATTTGCGTAGCACGAGCCCCAATGCGAACACAGGCGCGCGAGTGTGCTGGTGGAGTTCGCTTTTTACGCTTCACTGTGTTGAAGGCTGTGCAGGATTATGCTGCGCCGTTTCCCGGGCGACGGGGAGATAGATTAACATCACCTACCGAGTACCTTTACCCGGAAGAAGAATAAACGGCCGATGAGAGGAAAAGCCAGTAGAGTTTCAGGTGGTAACGTTACTCAGACCCGCGTTACAATATTGTAGCCGATTACTCTCCACATAACATGAAGATTATATCGAAAATTATTTATTTTCTTCACGTCTGTTTTTTATTTTCGATACCAAATTCAAATCGAATTAAATTAAGACTGACTTTTCTCCAACTCTGAAATGACTTCGCCTCATGATGGTCAATTTATTCCCACTATTGGACGTACACTGAACGATATGATGGCAATATTTTCCCCATATATGAAAAGAAAAGAAAAAAAAAACAGTTTCATGAGAGGCAAACAATATAGCTTTTGAAAAACAAGCAAATATTCTACAGTTAATTCTGATAACAGTTTTAATATTGTTTCACAGATTATATTCTCTCATTCTCTTTCTCTGTTTTGAGTTAGAAGCCCAACAATGTGTTTAGGCACAACATCATGACATGAAATGTTAATGATATCCTAGTGGAAATCGGACTGATGCAGTTGAGAGTGCTGTGAGAACAACAACAACAACAACAACAACAACAACAACAAAAATAACAACAACAACAACAACAACAACCAACAACAACAACAAAAACAGACCTACTGTCTCAAAAAAATAATTCTGAAACTGGACACCATTATGCTTCTTCGACCATAGTGGTTTCTCGCGAGGACTCGCCATGGCAATCCATTTTAAATTCAGATTCCAGTACTGCCATGCGTTAAGGAAAGATTGGGCCCTGTGGGAACACTGCAATCTTGTGTAGACCTTCGCCATGGGCTGGCTTTTCAATTAATTCATTTATTTTTTTCAGCAGAGCAAAGAACATTGCTTATTGGGAAAAATAAAAATAGCATTGGTCCAGCTGTTATTTTTATTAAATAATTAAATAATCGCTTTATTTTACAAAAAGATGCAAGTATCTCCACACTTTGAAGAAGATAAAAAAATAGCACTGTTTTGTTTGTTAATAAAAATCATTATTAATAATGTACAGCCATACATTTTTAAATGAATTTTATATACTTGCTTTTGGAGTAATGTGAACAATAAGATTTTTATCCGATTTTAAACAAGTGATTTTACACACACACACACACACACACACACACACACACACACGCCCACACACACGCAAACAATCTTCATCTCGTGTGTTGAGTGCTCAAAGACAAGTGTTTATTTAGGGGAGAGATTGGCTGTTCAATAACATGTTGATCGGGGCAACACCCCAATGAATTTTATTGACACTGATCTTTGGCACAAAAGAGCGCCTGGGGAAATCACGGGTAGTGCCACAGCCGCCCCCGGAGCGGCTGATGAATCTAAAATCAATGTCCTATTTGCCTGTATTTCAGAAGTATATGAAATACATTTTGGAAAAAGGTGCGGGGTTCATGGGTGCTCCTCTTACTTTTCAGCTTTGTAATAATTTTTATGTCATATTGATCGCTCACTTTTGAGGGGGTGAGACCGACAGTAATGCGACAACAAAGCGATAAAATGACCATCAGAGTGATGGTCAGTCAGTTTGGAGAAAGTCGCAAGGATGATTGAATAATTTCACGTTTTTAGTTTGAGGTTTCTTTTTTGCGTCAATCGGAATTTGGTTAAACCAATATTCAAAACGGTAGATCATCCACAATTACACACACACACACACACACACACACACACACACACACACACACACACACACACACACACACAAATTATATTTAAAATATAATGAAAATGTAGTGTCAATTACGACTTTACCACAGTAACACAAAAGCTTACTCCAGAAACAGGCCACACTACCAAAACCATGCCTTTTCTCATCTTTGAATGCCACTAAATATTTGTATCAGCCACTAACAATGTCTCTGTTATCGGGAAGCTTTCAATCTGACCACTACTAACAGGCTCCATCGCCCCCTTCCACTGGCAACCTCAGGTGTCCCACCTGTCGGGGCAGCAATGTGACACCTGTTGAGCATGTTGTGTCGGTGGGATACGGGCGGTAGCGGCTCAGCGCCTGCTGGCAGTCTGTCGCACAGCCCGCAGAGAGGCTGCTGTCGCCACAGTGGGTCCGGTGGTCTCTCTCTCTCTCTCTCTCTCTCTCTCTCTCTCTCTCTCTCTCTCTCTCTCTATACATCCGCTCCCTGCGCTCCCGTTACAACCGCAGGCGGCGGGTGTGAGATGACAGCACGCGCATAACATCTGTTAGTGCGATTCTCCAACAATGAAGGCTCATTACGCATTCATAACGTCTCCCACACGCAACGCAAAAAGAAGCGCCTCTAAACAGTCAGTACACATCACAACACGAGTCGGTGAATAAGGGGGTTTCCTGCAACTGTCACATCACTTTTTAAAAAAATATATATATCTTGGGGACATCTAAACCGGAAAAGGATCAAACTTAATATTTAAAAGTCTGAGACATTTTTTTTATAGAAGTGGGGTTTTCACAATAAAATAAAAACACTTTACAACCTCCATTTCACGCCTTGGCAGAGTTCACTCAGCAAAACAAGAGCCGCCCTCAGTCCCGCTGTGCTCATTTGCTTGCTGTATTAACCTCTATTTCACGCCTAATTGTGACTCATTAACGGACCCCAGGACGTCAAATAGAGCTCAATAATGCCCGTATCCTCCCCAAAACCCCAGATTGCAACGCATATGCACAGAGGAATTCATTTAAATTAGGATCTTACCTTGGCCCGAACTGTACCGGGAGAAATTTCCGGTGTTTTGACAACTTGACCCCGGGTGTTCAAGCAACATTTTGAAGATGTTCCGATGTTCCAAACGGAAGAAAGCAGCGCCAGGAGACGCACGCCTCTTTGGTTCAGTTTTTTTTTTTTTTTTTTTTTAAAGAAAACGCCTAACCAGCTATACTGAGTATACAGGCTGGATTTAAACCCCGCACTTTCCTGGAGATTTATCCTCTCGAGAGGGAGTTGTGCGTTGTTCGATGGCAGCTGGATTTCTGAAAAGTGTTAAAAAGGACGCCCGTCGACCTTTCTCCTTTCGTCTGCCGCCGAGAGCGGAAACTTTGAATATTCATCAAGTTGGCTCTTTGATTCCGCGTTGATAAGCTCGAAGTGAGGTGGAGACGAGGAGTGGGTGGTGGCAGTGGGAAAGTGTCTGACCATTAGCGTTGTCAGCTGACCTGACTGTGAGCCCTGCCGGCGGTCTGAGACTTTACTTCAACTAAAGCGAGCGGCGGTCAGCGCTGCCTCTGTCCAGGGTGCTGAAAGGGGAGTTTCTCTGAACAGGATGGAGGCGTGTGTGCTGCTCCTATATCTCCCAGTGAGCTATCTTTAAGCACGCTCACACACACACACACACACACACACACACACACACACACACACACACACACACACACACACACACACTTGGCCTCCCATCTTGCTCCTTATTTATGTTGTGGTGCACGTGTCTGTCTTTCAAGGCGCACAATGGGGCAATTGGGCATCGCTCGGGACATTGTTTTCGTGCGTTTCCGTCGCTGCGTCTCTCTTTTGTTCGGTTTGAAATAGACCGCATCGCATTAATGATACAAGTGGAGGGAGAAAACATACCGTTATGTTCCTCTATAGCAACTGTAGGGTGTCAAAATTAGGATTTAAATTCTTTATTTCTATATTTTACATGTATTTATTTGTTTTTATTGGATTATTGTCCACTTATTGGTTAGTTTCTCTGCTCATTGTGTGTGCTTCCTGTAGTCCTGTTCCAAAATTATGTTAGCTCAGTTTATATTATTATTGTTACTGTTTGTTTTTATCCTTAAGGTAGGGGAACCTGTGGCTTCTTGGCCTGTCCTCATAAATCTTTATATCTCAATTATCTGGATTTTAAACAGTCTTATGTATGTTCAAATGAAAACTTAAAATAAAGTAAAAGGCTTGCCTATCCTAACTGCTGGAATAAGTTGACAGTTGTTTATGTGTAAGTTTTAAACGCTGTTTTAAAGGAAAACTGTGATAAAGTCTGTACATCAGCTGATTTTAGATTGAAAAACATGACCACTGACACACAATAGAGAAAATTAACACTTATGGTTAATTGGTAAAATAGGTAAAAAGTACTGTATCTAATTTATGCTGTCCTGTCAGATGTCAAGCCAAGCATGCGCTTGCGCAGATCTGGGCTGCTATTTGGCTGTGTGCCATGCCTCATGCCTTTGACACTGTGCCAATTACCACCACAACGCGCAAAACTTCTCTGACGTGCTCCTACAGCTTTGATTCAATTTTACTCGCCCAGCACGCCAGCTCACAAGTGGTGTAAGCCAATTAGACCTATGCTGTTCATTAGTCCACTCGGGGCAATTAGCCAAAACTTTGAAAGAATTCAACCATCCATTGATTTCACTACATTCACATGATTTAAAAAAACAATATCCCGGTGGATATTTGTTTTCATGGATGAGAAGCAAATAACATTTTTGTGTTTTCAGGGGCAGTAATCTCTGGTGAACAGTTGAGTGTGGATCTTTATGCAGATTAAGGGGAAACTGTTTGTAAATCTGGAAGGAGCTGTACACAGTAACCTAAAGCCAATGCAGCATCAAAGGAGCTTAGACTACAAGCACAACAACAAGACTGCTTTCCTTTTCCTTTCATCCACTGTGAGAAGAGAGTCTTTGCTGTTTCCACCCCTAACACTGTACATGGTGAAGATGTGTGACATATGCATGTTTAAGATCTGTCGACATTAATAAATAATTTTCTTCTAATTTATTATTTTGATATACTACAAAAACTCAATTGTTGTTTTTTTTCCATAAGCATTTTGTTTTCTGGTATCTTTGACTCCTTTGCATGAATATTATAATGAGCTAACCCCCTGAAACACACTAAGGCTTTTATCCTGTTTTGTTTGTCCTCTGTGAAACCTAGAGCATCATCACAGAAAATTGATAAAGTGTTAATACACCTGGGTCCTACTTGAGAAAGCAGCTGCAATCAACCACTAATGGCCCTCCATAAAGACTCTGCATTTTGCACCTATTAGAAGTTGATTTTTGACCATGAGTATGAGCAGGTTCAACAGGCTCACAAGTGCTCCGTGGATTAGACAAGCCTCGGCCCTTAAGGACTACTTCAAAAGAACAAACAGTATACTGCATATAAAAACCTCTGTTTTCTTCAAGTGAGGGCACTTACCGGAAAAGAGAATGGAATAGTTTTATGAATACAAATCTTTACTCAGATCTGTTGTGTTTCATGTATAAGTGCTTGCGTTTATGTTTTTGCACTAAAAAG